GATTGGCACAGGACAGAGCAGGGTTTAGGGCTGTTGTACATAGGGTCGCTATGAGTCGCAAGCGACTCGACAGCACATAACAACAACTACAACAACATGGCTTATCACCAGGGCTGGCGTGCAGGTTTTCTCTGCCTCCACCGGTCACTGTAGTTGTCACAGAGTGGCTTCACTGTTTCCAGTAACAGAAGCCTTCTCCGCTGCTTCTCTAGAGAGTTGGCCAGCCAACTGCTCGTGTAGCTCGCCTTCTTGTAGATAGGATGCAGGGTAAGGTTTCTCCCTGCTTCAGACCACAACCCACTTCTTCACCCCTGAGCCGGCTCTCACTGGGTCAAGAGAGATTCTTTGGCTCTAAAGTGACTTCTTTGCAGAAGAGCACAAAGCTTCCAGAAACTCTATGAACTTGGATAAATATTGATAGTTGTACAGGGGCTTCAGGCCTTTTGTTCATAGGGTTGCTATGAGTTGTGCTCGACTCAAAGGCTATCAACAACAACAACGAGAAACTTGGTTTTACCCTCTCCAAGACAGACCTCTTTGTTCTCTTGGAGATCCATGGTATGTTCAATGTGTTCTCCAGAATCACAACTCAAAGGCATCGATTCTTCATCTGTTATCCTTAGTCGTTGTCTAGCTCTCTGATGTTCCTCTTGTTGTTAGGTGCTATTGAATCACCTGTGACTCATAGTGACCTTATGTACATTAGCTCTGAGCCCTGCCCTATCCTGAGCCGATCTCATCATTCCCAACCGACCTAATCCCATTTCTCCGGTCACTGAGCCAATCCATCTCTTTCTGGGTCTTCCTCTTATGCACTGTCCCTCCACCCTTCCAAGCATAATGTCCTTTTCCAAGCACTGGTCCCTTGTAGCCACCAGGCTGTTTCTTGGAAAGGGACATCAAGCTTGGAAAGATGGAGGGTCAGCGAAAGAAAGGAAGACCCTCAACGAGATGGAGTGACTCAGTGACTGCAGCAATGGGAACAAGTACGTCAGAGGTGATGAGGATGGCACAGCACAGGGCCAGGTTTAGATCTGTTGTTCTAGGGTCGCTGTGAGTACTGCTTGATTTGAGAGCCCATAGCAGACAACAAACAGATTCATCCTGGAGAGGGTTAAACCAGGCTGCTCCTTGGAGGCAAGGATTCTGGGACTTCGTCTGACATACTTTGGACATGTTGTAAGGAGGGACCGGTCCTTGGAGAGGGACATCATGCTTGGGAGGGTGGAGGGACAGCGCAGGAGGGGAAGACCCTCTATGAGGTGGATTGATTCAGTGACTGGGGTAATCAGGATGGGTGTGTCAGAGGCAATGCTATTGGCACAGGACAGAGCTGAGTTTAGGGCTGTTGTACTATGAGTCGCAAACAACTGGATGGCACATAACAACAACATAAACTCTAGAGAGAAAAACAAGATTAGTCATACCACTAGATGTCGCTGTGGTGAAGTCATCTGTGCACTTGGCTTCAGGGAGGACTTGGAACCAAGTTGTCTCTGAATTTCGATTGCTATAACAGGGGACGGAACCGGAATAAACCGACTGCTGTATCAGCATTGGGTGGTATCAGGGCTGGGCGGGGAACTGCTGGCCAGCTCCTCCCTCCGCACACATCCGGATTTAAGCCGCCTCTGCTGGGCATCCCCAAGCTCAGATCGCTGCCCACACTCACCATGGCCACCTTTGTGCAGCTCGCCACCAAAGCAAAGATGCCCATCGTGGGCCTGGGTACCTGGAAGGTGGGTGCGCGCACCTCGCCGTGGGGAGCCATGCTTCCCTCCTCTGCCTTCCCCCTGGGGGCCCAGCTGTAGCGGTGGGGAGGGGACAGCGAGGGGAGGGAGTGTCCTTGTAGAGCAGGGCACCCCCCTCCTGCTGCAGATTGAGGTTCTAAAGTTCATGCAGCCAGAGCTTCCTGCTGGATCCTGTTTCGAGCAGGTCTGAGGCTGGGAATCAGCACTTATTTCAGGGATCTCTGGGCTGCAGCACAGCGGACATGTGGGGCTACAGCCTTGCCATGTCCACTGCCCTGGACAGCCGGGCGCAGGGCTGGGTGCATGGCCCAGAGCCCCTGGCTGTGTGCAGTGGGGTCCCGGGAGCTGGGAGAGAAATGTGGGCTCTCAGGCTACCCAGGTTCTCCGTGTGGGGCTCTGCACTGGAACCAGAGCCCCAGGGTCCCCATACAGTTCCAGTCCCAGAAGCTCTGCTCCCTGGCGTCTGCTCCCCCGGGAAAGTGGCAGAAAGGTGCCTGGCCAGGGCTGGGCTCTGAGTTGGGTCCTTGTCAGCTGCCGGGTGACTCTCCACGTCACAGGCCTCGGTGAGACAGCTCCTGGCCTTGCGGTCCGGAATAAGCAAAAAGTTTTTCATCATCTTCTAACGGCCTTATTTTCTCTTTTCCTCGAGGCTGGTGCCGCTCTGACAGCTTACACGTGTCTCATCTGCCTGTTTGTTCTTTGCTGGCTTCCCCCATTGCACTGTCCTGTCAGGTCCTCTCCTGTGAGGGGACACTCTGTGGTCCCAGTGCTGGGTGTCCTCAGGAAACACATGGGGTCCCTGAGGGGAGTGAGGGGAGGAGAGGGAGTTGGATGAACCCCCCTGGCACAGCCCCATGGCTGTTTATTCCAAGTGAGAGCTTCTTCACCTTCTTTAAGAACTTGACCAAGAATGGTCCCAGGTGCCCCCCTCTCAATTCCCTCCAGAGGAGGGAGAGAACCCTGATTTCCAAAGCAGCTGTGAGCATCCCATTGAGATCTGGGCTCTGATTCTGAGATGATGTCACAGGAAGAAGGTGCACCTTTGGGGAGGTTAGGGATGTAAGCTTGGAGGAGGGGCCCCAGGCTGAGCTACAGCTCCTTTCACTTCTTGCCCTCTCTTGGTGCAGTTGTGCATTCTATATTGCCTACTTTCTGGTGTGTTTGCTATTTCACATCAGATCAAAGATTTTAAAAAGCGTGTGGAAGTTCAATTCCAAGTTCGTTCGTTCTTCTTTTGTCCTTTCCTTTGCTGAGACTGGCCAGGTCAACTACAGGGCAATATTTCTAAGGCCAATTCCTTTTTTTTGCCTGGAGCATGGACATTACTTCAAGGTTTTATTTTCTTCCTTTCTGAAACATTACTTACACAATTGCTCATTCCTCAAGCCTCGCTGCACCCCTCGCCCCCAATCTAGCCTTCCTGGGTCCCAGGTCCTGTGCTGGACTCCTTCCATTCACTACGTCCCTTTACCAACCCAGCCGCCCCTGAGGCAGATACTGTTATCAATCACTCTCAATTTTTGTACAAAGTACAGAAAGATTACGCTGCCAACATCAAGGCCCTGGGAGGTGGTGGAGTCTGGTTTCATCTCATGACCTTCTTATAGAGTCTGATCCCTGGAGGGTTCTTGAACTAGTCCTTCTGGGTCATTTCACAGGGCAGTTGGATCCTGGTCTTTACAAAGGAGGTACTCTGTGCTTTTGTCACCCCATTTTTACAAAGGAGACACTAGAAGCTGTGGATCACCCCAATCCTTAGAAAGGGAGGTGCAGGAGTCAGGATCACCCCATCTTTATAGCAGGATGCAGGAGATGTGGGTCACTCCATCTCTAGAAGTGGTCATTCACTCCCTCATTACAAAGGACTGTGAGGCTACTGTCTTCACAGAGGCCAGGGGGACGGGCTGAGAATCACCCCACATACCAGGGGTCCCATCAAGGCTGGAGGGGTGATCTGGATTACAAGAGAGTCAATTCCTGCGGGGATGGTTGAGAGTCCTGGTCACAAAGCCAGCCCCCTTTCCTTCTTCCTGCTTTGAAATGTTTTCCTTTTTTATTTCGGTCTCTGTGAAAACCTTTCTCTTTAACTTTTTTTTTTTTTTCCTTTTTCTAGGCTTTAGAGAAGAAAATGAAGTTATTTCATTTTTGGACTTTCTGTACTATATAGGAATGATTTTTCTTTTTTTTTAATTTAGGTTGTTTATTTTTCATTTCAATGAACATCTACAGAGGTTTTGGGATTCCATTCATTCATTGTTGCACCCTTCTCCCCTCACAAACCCCTCCCCCCTCTCCCCTTCGCTCCTCTCCCTGAAAAGCAAAAGAAAAACTCCCTCATTGGTACACAATCCCCCCCCAGCACCTCCCCAAATCCCACCCCCTACCCCCAAATATAATCCACTCTGCAACCCTCATTGCATACTCCTACGATAAAAATAATACCCTAAAATATAATACTTTTAGACTATTCTCTCCCCGATAGACTTCAATGCCGTAAGCATATTTCATCCAGTTTTTCTCAGTCTTACCCCCACCCCAATGCCAGCCTCATTCTACAACAGTGGCACCATATAGCATTTGTCCCTTTGTGACTGAGATACCTCACTCAGCATAATGTCCTCCAGGGTCACCCATTTTGAATAATATTGCATGAGTTCCTTGTTTTTCAATGCAGCATAGTATTCCATTGTGCGAATATACCACAGCTTCTCTACCCATTCGTTTGTTGATGGGCATTTAGGTTGTTTCCAACTCCTTGCTATTGTAAACAAAGCCACGATAAACATGGGTATACATATATCTACTTGGATGTCATTTATGGTCTCTTTAGGGTATATTCCCAGTAGTGGAATTGCTGGGTCAAATGGTATCTTTATTTGCAACTTTTTGAGAAAGCGCCAAAATGCTTTCCACAGTGGTTGCACCATTTTACACTCCCACCAACAGTGAATAAAGGTTCCGGTCTCTCCACAACCTCACCAGCATTTGTTGCTTGCTGTTCTGTTAAATTTTGCTAGTCTTACTGGAGTGAGATGATATCTCATGGTTGTCTTGATTTGCATCTCTCTCAGGGCTAGGGATTTTGAACATTTCTTCATGTGTTTGTTGGCCATCTGAATGTCTTCCTTGGTTCTTTTTAACTTTTAAAAAAATATTTTATTATTAATATCAATGAAAACTCACAGAGACTTTGGATTTCCATTCATTCATTGTTGCACTTTTCTCCCTGCCCATCCCTCTTCCCCTATAATTATGATCTTCTAATTGCTTTTTAAAACAATATTTCCTTCTCATAGGCTGTAACCGGGGTTTGCTTTTGTAGTTGTTGAGTCCCATGGGCCTTATCAAGCTATACAGGAAAACGGGAAATAAAATGAGCAGGAAATAAAGGGGGGAAAGATTTTTAAAAATCAATAAAAAGTAAATAAAGACAAGAAGATGGAAAAGAAGACAGAAATGTTTTCCAAAGTATGTTCTTCACCCCAGCATCCCATAGAGATTGGAGCCCTCACGAGGCCCTGGTGAGGAGACTTAGGCCCATAGACAGGGGTCCTGGAGAGATGGTCAGGGATGGGATCACCTGATGATCCTGTTCTTCTCCTAGTCTTCCCCAGGCCAAGTCAAAGACGCTGTGCGGACAGCCATTGACGTGGGTTACCGCCACATCGACTGTGCCTACGCGTACAGGAACGAGAGTGAAGTGGGGGAGGCCATCCAGGAGAAGATCCAAGAGAAGGTCGTGAGGCGAGAGGACCTCTTCATCGTCAGCAAGGTGCCCAGGCCATGGGGTGGGAGGGTGGCCTCAGGGTGTGGACACAGGACCCCTTCATGTCAGCAAGGTGCCCGGGGCCGTGGGGTGGGGAGGGTGACCTCAGGACACAGACAGGAACTCCTCATGTGAGCAAGGTGCCCAGGGCTGTGGGGTGGGGAGGGTGACCTCAGGACACAGACAGGACCTCTTCATGTCAGCAAGGTGCCCAGGGCTGTGGGGTGGGGAGGGTGACCTCAGGACACAGACAGGACCTCTTCATGTGAGCAAGGTGCCCAGGCCATGGGGTGGGGAGGGTGACCTCAGGACACAGACAGGAACTCCTCATGTCAGCAAGGTGCCCAGGGCTGTGGGGTGGGGAGATTGACCTCGGGGTGCAGACAGGACCTCCTCATGTCAGCAAGGTGCCC